ATTTCTGCTGAATCAATAAATGTTTTCTTTGACATGCGGAAAAATTTAGAGAATTGAAAGTTATCATAGCTACAAAGCCATGGTTCCATCATTAAAAAAAAAATCTGCAAAAAACATTTCTCTCATGAATATTATGAAAGGTTTCTTATTTAAACTTTCCATATACAGTTGTAGACGAAAAAGCACCGATTATTAAGTGATAATAAAAACAATCAGAGATTATATACGCGCTTTTCTAAAATAAACAATTTGCAACAAAACCGCGGTTAAAACCAACACGTTCAAGCGATTCGTGTAACTGACGTCATCAACCCGTGTGTCATCTTGAACCATATTATAACCGCAGCACATAACACAGAAATTTTGGTTATTCGCTTGGATTTGATTTTTTCTTGTTTAAACGGTTCTCTTGTGCCTTCAAGATGGGATCGCGGATTGGCATATTTCTGCTTTTTCTGGGATCGACCAGTTCTGGGAGCAAGCAGTTCATGTAGAAGAATTTCAATTTCTCTTCCATTTCATTTTTCCAGAAAACGTCATCCTTTCGAATGACGTCTATTTTCAAACCATACGGGGTCCAAACACCAAGCACACAGTACTCTCTTTGTGCAACGTGTAGCTGCCCTTGAATTTGGTAATACCACTTATGCTTTTTATTTATTTCATCGTTTATCCAAAACGTAATTTTTTTGTTCAGAATGCCCTCTTCAGGGGCTATTTCTCTAGCAGACCATGGACATTTAATTTCTAGCAGACCTTTTTCGCCTATCAAACCATCTGGCGATGCTGCTAGAAATGGATGGGTCCTATCAATAAACAACCCGCAAGATTGTACTTCTGATTGCGAATATGATTTCTCTATTTCTGATTTTGCCACGCTTTCATGCTTTTTTCCATAGTCACATGCATTGCTAAAGAATTCGGTTGGGTATATTATGGCGTTTACTAGAGCTCTGCAACTTGTTGTATCTCTTCTTCTACAAACCTCACCAAACCGAGACGCAGTCAACCTCATTCTTCGATGAAGACGCCACAAATTGCAATCCTGAGATTTTGTGGCTTGCTCGATCTGGGAAATTTTGGAGTCGGTTTTTGCAAGTTTTTTCAAGAATTCTACCTTGGCAGCCTCTATCGTCGTTGCTCATGTCAGGCTTCTCACAGAATTCCCCATAGGATGCGTTCTCTTTAGTATCACTATCTCTGATTTTAATTTCCTTGGTTTCAGCTTCCTTTTCAGATTTTTGTGCGCTCTCCTTTCTTCAACTTTAGCAATCAAAGAGGTTGGACTGAAACTAGGGAGTAGCCGCTTTTGGATCACACAAACAGGTCGCTGTGTATTGTGGCTCACTACGGCTGCAGCACATCTTCCTTGGTAGGATCTCTTCTTGCAATAATTAATCCGTTTACCCCCAATGAATTTAGCTATGATTCAGTTAAACTGCTCTACAATACTATTATCGACGTCATGAAGTAAACTTACTGCATTTTTAATCAGAATTGCCAGAAATGATATCAGCCTCTGGTGCAAATCTAAAAAAAAAGGGTATACACACCTGAATTTGAAGATCCATGCCATCTGTCTCTGTTAGAGAATGCATATGCGAAACCTTGCTGTCATTTTTAAGCTAAAATAACATATAAAATATAGTTATAATAGTAACTACGTATAGTCTAATTTATTGGCAAAATGAATGCTAAAATTCATAATTGTTTTGGTACCTACTTTTCTCAACTCAACAATAACAGCACAACAATAACAACACAACAATAACAACACGATAATACAACAATACAATAACGGTAATAAGAGTAATAAGGGCTGAGTATACTATGCGCCAAAATAGGGAAACAGTCGTACGCTAGATCGTATATCCAAATCAAATCCGACTCTGTGCAATATGCAAATTCAACCAGGCACGCGAACAGCACACCTCTGCGTATTACTATCCTTTTCTAACGTAGAGCGCTTGCCTTGTCACAACGCCGTCCTACTAGCCTTTCCCTATCACCCCCCCGATTCCCCTCAGAAACTCTGCTTGACTGTGAGAGCGCCGTTAATAATCAGAATTATCGTATCTGGGCATTAGATAACCCTAGTGTCTTCCATCAACGACCACTACATCCTCGTCGAGTCACAGTTTCGTGCGATGTTTGGTATGGAGGTGTCAATGGACCTTACTTCTTTGAAGACGCTGCAGAAAATTCTCCTCCTTGATTTTCATAGTCGTTTCTCTCCTTCAGAAAGGCTGGGGTATTTCTAGATTTCTACTGATCCGGGTCAGCGTCAGCGCTCTCCTATGTTTTCAGGCTGATATAACAGATGATATTTGTAACATAACCTCAAAATAGAGCGCTGATATGGAACAGTAGAAAACTATGAGAATCAGGGAGGCCATAAAGGCGTCCTACAGTTGAAGGAACGACTGAATATACATCCAATAATTCGGGCTTATTTTATTTTTCAGCATTGTTCATAACATTGTGATATACTCAGTGGACAAGGCGAAAACGATGGTTGCACTTAACAATATAGGTTTAGACTTTTTTTACAATCCTCTTCCTAAATGATCCCAGAATAAGGCTCAGAAATCGCCCACGCGAAAAAGATTACAGTCTCCGTAACATCTGGAGCTGGATTGATTGTTTTTTTACTTTTCATTGAAAAAATTTGAAAACCTAGACCTCCCAGGCTTCAAAAGGTATTAAAAAATGCGTGAGATATTCATGACTAGCGTATTATACGTATATTTTCAAATTTCCTATATTTTCGATTTTTCGTACTACAGCCAAAATCTGTCATATTAAAATGTAGGTTGGGAATGACCCGACATTTTTTTGCTCAAAACTATGTTGCCATTGGTTAGATTATCTGAAGTGAAGTATGTTAATTACTCTTGGTCCCACAGCATTACCCCTTCAATATCAAAATAAGTGTGTAAGTTCCCGAGTTGTTATCTTTCCATCGCCGTATACAGGGTGTTTCAGAACTATGGGATCAAACTTGTACGGGGTTATTCGATGTAACAGTAGAAAATATTTGAGTATAGGGACCCATATCCGGCGCTTGTGTGGTGTTGAGAGCCGGCTCACTTTGTTGTACAAGTACGTTGGATTGCCTCCTAGGTCACGCGATTTAACGTCGCTAGATTTTTTCCTGTGGGGACATGTAAAGTCTTTGGTTTACGAAACTTCAGTAGAAACACAGCTAGACTTAATTGGAAACTTACAGCAGCAGTTGAAATCATTTAAAACGAGTATCAAATGTTTAGTCAAGACCGCCGAAATCATGTGCGATGTTTAAATCGGTGTATTCAGGTTGGAGGAAGACATTTTGAACAATTGTTGTGCTGATGTCATGTTCAAAAAGCAAAAATTAAATGCATTAAATCCTATTTAGGCAATTGATCGTCTTTCTAAATTTTAAACGCGTCTTAGGGCCGTAGTGCCGTGGTAACACTTTTCCGGATATGGATCCCTATACTCAAATATTTTGTACTGTTACACTGAATAACCCCTAGAAGTTTGATCCCTTAGTTTTGAAACACCCTGTACATTCGACATGTAAGAAGATTGCAACAAATATTTACTGATTACTTACATTTGCATTGAACGTGTAATTAAAATTACAAACAGACGCTTCCACGAGTTAAATATGTATTTACGTAAATAGTCGACAGGAAATACCAAAAATGCAAATTTCCTGTTGCACCGTCTACTTTTATTTTTTCTGGCTAAGAAAATAGTGTTGACTCACAATGATATTATGAGTTGGTGCTAGCCTTTGCTTGAATTCTTTTAGTATCAACATACATCTGAGAGACAGTTGGTAGGTTTTTCCGGACACAAGAGACACTATTGAAATGCTTAGCCTTTTTGATACACAGAGATGCTGGGCGCGTTATATAGCGTCTCTTAAATGCTTAAATGCTATGTAATTTTCGAATCTCTCCATATAGCAAGAACATTTTTCCTGTGTATTCTGTTGTATCTGCGTCTGACAAGATTGAACTGAATAATGTCATTCGGTCAAAGACTTTGATAAAATTTTAATTCAGGCCAAAGGATTATCCAATCGTCCCAGTCGGAAAACTAAACATTTTGAATATGTACTTGACCCTCAGGATTATTATTCTATTGATTTCTATTGTTTGATAAATAATCGATATAGTTATAAATTTATTTGAAGATGGACTTAGTAGTTAAACCAACATAGCTAACAATCTCGGGTTCTGCACTTCTTTAAAAAAATAAAAACTTGAAAAAGATAAATCCGTGTGAAGATCTTGCCAACTATTTAAAACTGATGGAAAAGCCAAAGACATCAACGGTACTCAGTTATTTGATAAACAAAATGTCTTGAACATACAATTACCTCAAGAACATTGTGACAAGCCATCTGAAGTGTTAAATTATAATAATAGTAATAGAAAATATGTTGAAATAAAAGTGTAACTAACGATACCTGTGACAGTTGCCTCAGCAAGGCGCCCCTTTTCCAAATTAAATACAATTAAAATTTATTTACCGTCAACCCACCCAGGAACGAATCAGCATTTGTGTCAAATGAACAAATCATATTTCACAGAATAAATGTAGGTAACGTGATAAAAAATTTGGGATGGATAAAAATAGGCGATTAAGAAATTCACCGATTATTAATAATACAATTCATTTAATTAGTGGCAAATCGTATTTAGATGGTCAAAGATTCAAAATCGAATTCATAATGCCTATATTAAGATATATATATATATATATATACAGGGTGTCCGCAAAGTTGGGGTTTTCCTTTACACGACGTGTAGATCTTGAAAGCATAAGCAATTTTTCTTAGTACCATATACACCAATGTCTTAAGGGAACCGAGATAAAGGGCTCTGCAACATCAAAAATATCTGAATACCGTCCTGCAGCCGCGACCCGCGACATCACCGCGTGGTACAAGGTCACTGGCTCAACCCGACGACAGAACTGGGTCGTGGTCAGTGTGTCAGGTCAGTATGCAACCTTCAACCGACGGTTACGGTCACGCGTGTAGAGCTAATCGCATAGACGAGAATCCCTCAACAAGCACTAGAGACGTGGCTAGAGAAGTGCAAGTATCAAAAACTAAAGTGTGGCAAACGCTGCGTGAAGAGGGGCTGCATCCGTTTCACGTCCAACGTGTACAAGCCCTTAAACCTGACGATTTTCCAGCAAGAGTGCGGTTTTGTGAGTGGTTGCTGCATCAACATGACATTAATCCGGACTTTTTGAAGTGCATATTGGTGACAGACGAATCTACGTTCACGCGTAATGGGGTGAATAACTTTCGCAACACATGGTGATCGGTATGCTCATTGGACCATTTATTCTCCCAAATCGATTGGACGGGATGCAATACCTAGACTTTTTACGCAACATTTTGCCTTCCTTGTTAGAAGATGTGCCATTAAGTGTAAGACAATTAATGTGGTTTCTGCGTCTGCTCGGTAGCGCATCAGCTGATTTCATTTTCTGTTGGAGCGGTATGATTTCGGGCAGAGACGTACTTAGCCCTTCTCGTCAACTGGAGAGTGAGTACTTTTTCCTTTATTTTTTTTTACTTGGTCGCCCTCGTTCACTACACATTACCTTTGTTACTTCAAGGGTAGTTGTTTCTGAAAAGGAAAAGCCCAACTTTGCGGACACCCTGTATATATATATATATATATAAAAAGGAATGAATGGATCATACAACAATTCTTGAAACTATTACATGGATATGATAAGAACAGGAAGAACTTATCAACTCTATAAAAACATTGATCAACAAATCATATAAACATAAACATAAACAATATAGCGGGTAGTGCATTTTCATTCTTATAAAACATTAACTGTAAGCAGTTACTGTTGCTTGCAATATTCCTACAACACATAGTTCTTTATCTGTATTTGATTTAATATGATATTATGATAATAATATATATATATATATATAATAATGATATTTTTTGTCTCGGGGACTGGGAGGGGAGCGGTATAGCGCATACTTTGTTCCTTTCCTCAGGGCTCACAAAACCCCGAAGCCGGCCCTGTATAATCTAACCTCGTTTTGAGGCAACCCTTGTATAATATTTCTATTTATTTCCCCTTTTGCTTCCAGGCTGTTCTTGTTGTCGTGACTCTAGATACATTATCTAACTTCCAATATTTTATGCAAATGGACTGCGAATGCTGAAGTTCACTTCCTTCAACCTGACACTTGCTAATTAACTCCAGCTAGCTGAGAAAACCTAGCATTTCAGGCAGAGTTTCAAAGATGAATGTATTAATGAATATTCTAGGAACCGCTGCTTGGCAGTCAAGCAGTCTGTCTAAACTTTTGCGATTTTAGATAATTCCTATACAAGCATGAAACTCGATACAGTAGAGCTATTGCTATTGCATAACGCTTTTTAATAAAATGGAGGGGTATAGAAACTTGGGAACGAGCTAAAGTACAGCTTGGCTTATGCGGCGCTTGACACGACGCCACAAGGCATTACTCATCGTCTTCGGTCTCTTTACATGCAAATTTATAGTTCTCAGGAAAAAGTTAAAAATTCGATTGCAAATACTCACGAATAAAATGAATATAGGGACAAAGGGTTATATCACATTTTTATAAAAAATGTCCTACGGAACCCGTCAACTGAGATACAGGGTCTTAAGACCTGATTTAAGTAATGCGGGGCGCAAAATTTGCAGCTACGAATTTGCAATAGAACATAGTAGGCCGCGCGGATCGACGTCAGTACTGAATCTTAACCTCACTCTTTAGTAAACTTAATTCAAAAAATTCGTACAGTACTGTTAGTGGTGATGAATCGTGGATTTACTGTCATGAACCAGAAATAAACGACAGTCGGCTGTTGAGTGTTTGCAAGGTGAAGAAAAGCCAACAAAAGTCATCCGTTCTCGAAGTGTTTCGAAAAAGATGGTCGCGACATTTGGGTCAAAAGCGGGTCATATTGCAACAATTCCTCTTAATGAGCAAAGAACTGTTTCTGGGGATTGGTATACCACAATTTGTTGGCCAAAAGTCATCACCGAGCTTCGAAAAATCAACCCCGAAAGAAGAATCATCCCCCACCAAACAATGCAAGCTCGCACACAGCTTAAAAACAAGGCAGTATTTAACGGAAGAAAACGTGGAATTATTGGAGCATCCTCCATATAGTCCCGATCTAACGATTTCTTGACTTTCCCGAAAATTAAAAACAGACTGCGTGGTCTAAGGTTCCAGTCACCAGACGAAGCAGTTGACGCATTCAAAAATGCCGTTTTGGATCTGCCAGCATACGAGTGGAATAAGTGCTTCGAAAATTGGTTCGAGCGCGTGCAGATGTGTCTTCGTGGAAAAACAATAAAGTCATTTAAAACTACCTACCGTGTTGTTTTATTCCCATATGCGAAACTTAAAAGACATCCCTCGTATGGCAAAATTTGTCCAACGAGAAGGCGTTTTTGACGGGATGGATGGAAAGAATGAGGTCCATTTCTTGTAAATGCCAACACTAGAGAAAATTTACGATTTGTGTAAATTGGGCCCCTAATTCACGTATTAAATGAAGAAATACTTCATATTTATGGTTAGGTACAGAAACTTTTATTTTTTCCATTTTGCCCCGGACGGAAATGTGTGAACGATAGGCAAATTTGATCAATCAGAAAGAAGGATTTCCGATATAGATGCAAATTCGACAAATCAGAAAGAAGGATTGCGGTCTGCTCGAAACCTGGGTCAAACCTAATCAATAGATCGATATGATAGCAATTAATGAGCATTTTATTGAAAACAACAGTGTCACTACTGTCCGAGAGGAATAATTTAAATTTTATTAATCCATCACATCTCCATTGAGGGTAGGTACAAATACCTATTTTCTCTTTTTATAGTTTTGTATCAGGTCAGTTCAGTCACTAGATTGTTGGTTTTTGTCCTGGTGTTCAAAATTCTGCTTTATAAATTTATGAAGACATTAATAAATGGAGTAAGCTCTTCTTCAACAGACATCGAGTAAATATTATAAATATAAACATGTTTTATGGTCAACACGTGCGTAGGGCAAATTTTCCTTCCGTAACAGGGAGTCCCAACTAACAATTATCACTCCTATCAGGATTGCAAGAAATACGGCTGAACAGTTTCTTACTAAAAACTTAAACACCACTTTGCTAGTTTTGGCAATGACCTCGCCACCGTCACGGTCCATGTTTCGAACAGGCGTCAAATCCTTCTTTCTGATTGGCCGAATTTGCGTCCGGTCACAAATTTTGTGTTCGGCACGGGCATCATGTAAAAAATCTATAAACGTCAAAAAAAAACCTATAAGAGTCAACTTGCAGACTAGGTAGTTTTTAGGGCGCAAACAGTCATTCCCCGTTTGCTCACTAGGATCCTTGTGAACGTCCATCTATGGAGGAATCACTCAAACTAAACTACGCATTATTGGTTGCATAGTTTTGTGGGGCTGAGTGATACAGGTCTGTAGTTTT